ATTTTCAGTGACGTCATCAAGTGGAAAAACCACTTCGATTGGAGGAAACAATGGCGGTGGTGGAAAAGTTAGGCCAGTTGCTAGTGGCACAGACGGCGACGGGTGGTTTGATAGATCAGACCAGTTCAGAACCATTGTTCCTGACGGTGCTTCCCAATTATCATCTCCAGGAACGACAGGGGAAGCACAAACCGAGTCAACGTCAGGGCAAGTAACTAGAGAGGAAGAGCTAAGTCTTTGGAAGTCAATCGTTGATGAAGCTTCAAAAATGCAAGCTTCATTTAGAGATGAATTGCTCGATCGTGAAACAATTCAGAGATTTATTTCGCCTGTTATAGCAAAGATCGAACCGGATGGTGATTATGAAGATTATTTCAGAACTGAGCTTCTTTACCAGACAGGGTTGTCACAAGAGCCTAACAACCCTCTCCTTCTTGCCAATTATGCTCAGTTTCTCTACCTTGTTGCACATGATTATGACAGGTACAAAATCTTCACCATCTTTTCATTCAATTTCGTTTTGTGCTCTGTTTTGAGATGGCTGTCACTTCATCACAGTTAGCATACTATTTTGAGTTCTTATAACAAATTGGGTGTGTCTAGATTCATGGTGAAAGTAAAAATGGAGTCAAGCACTGAGCTGGTTCAGCTGAAACAGGAAGTGCAGTAATATCTATTTCTTGGCTTTTTGTTTCCGACTGCGCAGAAATAATTTTTTTATTAAAAATGGCTTTACCCATGCTTTGCGATGGGATTTTCTTGAATCTCTGGTTGAGGGGAATGTGTGGTGCAGCTTGATGGTTTGCCCGTTCATGGCAAATATGAAAATATCCCCATATACCACCTTTTGCTCGTGACCCTTCACGTGCTGAACAGGAAAATATCCCCTCGCATGCTTACAGCCTTAGACCTATATGAATTAATTGTTGCACATTGGACTTTTGACTAGGAAGATCTTTTCGTAACTGTGAGTTGATCTTTACTTTAGATGATGGAGATTACAGCTGTTTGACTAAGGGTTTTGTTTTGTTTTGTGGTTTTTGTTGCGCGTAAACAGAGCCGAAGTGTACTTCAAGAAAGCAATAGAGGTGGAACCAGCAGACGCGGAAGCATACAGTAAATACGCGACCTTTCTTTGGAGAGTTAGGAATGATTTGTGGGCAGCCGAGGAAACTTTCTTGGAAGCAATTTCTGCAGATCCCAGTAACTCTTATTACGCTGCAAACTATGCTCATTTCCTATGGAATACTGGTGGAGAGGACACTTGTTTCCCTCTAAGCTCTCCAGACACTACCCAAGAAGCTTAAAAACCCTTTAAAAAACACAAACAAAAAGAAGAAGATATGCATCAGAAACATAACCAACCAGAGCAAAAATCATATGGCCACGGCCCCTCTTTTGTTTTTTCCTTCTCTTCCGGAATTTGTTTTACGAAATAAGGAAAAAAAAGGGAAATAAGCAACCAAAGTATAGGAGAGAAAAAGAATTTTCTTGTCTTTGAAACTTGTGTTATATTCTTTAACACTAGTATTTCCATTTTAAGTGGTGTTGAGGCAACTTGGAGACGGTGGGTTGTTTGAGGTGTTTCGGAAGCAGGGTTTCACGTGAGGAATATGGGGAAACTGCATGGGAGGTGGCGACAGTTGGAAACTTGTTAAGCGCTCTGCGTGTCCTCCGCAGGAGCAGGCTGGTGGTCGAGAACTACACACGACAGTTGGAGTTTGGAGGAGGGATGAAGCTTTGATAAGCTCAGCTTGTTTGGCCTTTCTTTTTCTTTTTCTTTTTCTTTTTTAGGCACAGATCAAAATCATTGGTCTTCTTTTTGGTTTACACCGGAACACATAACGAATTGTCATTAGTTACTCTTTTTTTGTTAATATAAGAACCATTTTAAATTTTTTTATTTCTTTTACTTTACTTCAAAAAAAAAATCCGATTATAACAATATTTGTCAAATATGCTAAAAGGAACACGTGCTTCTTTTTGAGGTGCTATTACTTGCAAATCACTGTTCATTTATGATAAAATCATGCCGCCCTTTTAGGTAGTTGCTTAGCTTTGTAGTTACCTCCTTTATGCATATTTTGCTTTCCACTTTAAATCCATATTGGACAACAGTCTGTAACATATTTTGCCAGCTTAACGTCGATTAGTTAATTAATATCTAAATAAATGAGCAAGTTGTATTAAGTGGCTGGTACTAGAGAATAAACTGCAGTAGGAACTGATTCCTTTTGTCTGATTAGAGATCTTTCATACTTTTTGCAAGTGTAATTATTTAAAGGGCACCGGCCCTCGAGCAGTTGATTAGACCTTGACTAGAAGGATTTACTCATACTGGTTGGTGCAGCAGAAACTGCAAGAATAAATAGTAAAAGCTTCATGCTAAGCACAAGATGAATTGCATTTTGCTACTGACCAAGGGTAAGAACTCCATGCTTACCAGATTCAACCACGGCTATTTCGTACAAAATTTGGAAACTTTTGAGGCAAAAAAGGTACAAGAATTCTGCACACCAGCTTCACGGGATGCTGCAGTGGAAGTCACTACACCGACAGTAGCCAGGAGCAATGTCCAACTTTGATCCTATCTTTCCTTTTGATTATTCTAGAATTGTTGCAATACTCAAATATTGTCTACTACTTTAGAATCAAAATTGCTTTGCAGGGTCCTCACAGCTACTCTCTGCTGCTTTTCTTTCACAGATTTTCTCCATCTGATCCAAAGCTTGCTACCATTATTAGCAGATGGTGACTGGTAAAGATAATCTGTTGATCATTGGTAGTCCATAATACATGGACTATTCCGTTTACATGTGCGGTAGCCCTTCTTTGATCAAACACTCTCGTCGTATTGAAAGCTGCCATCGGTCGTTGCTTTTTGAAGTTTTTTCCTTTTGTCAAGCAGGCAACCAAATGGATGGCTCCAGGAAATTACGAAAGTTTGTTCTCGAACCCACGACCAAACGAATCGAGTTGATTGAAAGAGATTATATCCAATATATCAGCCATGCACATGCAAATGTTCATACAATGTTACTCCAGTTACTATTGGGGCTGTAATCTTCTCCTTGTCCTCTTTCATTGATTAATTATAGTAGTATAGACAAGGGGGAAAGAGCTCGACCTTTTCCTTTTGACCTTTTTTGGCTTCAGATGTATTAATATGAATGGACTTTGCATTAATAAACCCATTCTTCTTAACACATGGGGGATGATGCAGTGTACATTATGGAGCTCCTCCCTTTTCCTCTCACAACGCTTCTAGGGATTGAGGTTTGGCCAAAGCAGAAAATGACGATCTTTTCACGTGAAGGGATGGTGATGTTAAGCTACTCCCCATGTCTCTCCTTTTTTTTTACTACCGCCCCATGCCATTGCCAACCAACCTATATTAATATCTCCCTCTCTTTATTGTCTATTCTTATTTCAGTAGTTAATTATACCAAACCTAAAGAAAAAGAGAAAAAGAAAGCTGAATTGAATCTTTAGCTTTGAATAGTAAAAATAACAAAAAAACTACATATATATAAATCTAAATAACTTTGTTATATTGTCACGAGGAAAGTGTCTCTATCTCACATCGAACAGAAACGGGAGGTCCTGGGCTCTTTATAAGCGGGTGTGCTGCACACCCCTATAAGCGCGTTTATGGAGGAGAGAGTAATGATCCCGTGACAAGTGGTATTAAAGCGGACCGAACCTCGTCTGATTCACGCCAAACGCCTGGGTCCAAGAGGACTTAGAGTAGGCAGGGTTACCCAGGTAGGCAGGGTGGTCGACGGCAACGAAGGGGTTGCCAGAATCGGGTGAGAGAGAGTGTCACGAGAGTGTGCTGCACACCACTATAAGCGCGTTTATAGGGGAGAGGATAATGACCTTGTGACAACATGACTGGGTTTACTATTTGCTACCTTCTTTTTTTCTTTTTACAATTTATATGAATATATAATATAGAATAGAAATTTAAAATAACTTGGTCTCTAATTGATCAAGTGATTCTTTTTTGACTTTTTTAAATGAAACCGAGGACTCACACTAGTAAAAAATTGGCTTTTTTCGATAAAATATTTTGTTGAAAAAACTCAAATTTTCGTCGAAATCCCTCCTCTCTCTAACTCTTGAATTCCTTCAAACTAAAAGAGGGACTAAACTTGAATTGGGGTTCTGTCCTCTTATTATTTCACCTCAAAAACACTTTGCTGTGCTAAAAGGAAAAATTGACAGTTTATTTGTTTATTCTTTTACCATTAGCCTCTATTCAAACTATTTATTAATTTTCTCCCTCTCCCTCCAAAACTATTCAAGGAAATGTTAGATTCTAAGATGATTAAGCAAAAAGGCAATCTCACCATCTAACTAGAGCTAGGCCTCTCACATTTTCCCCTTTTCAGCTAAGTCTATTTAAATTGAAACAAAATGAAAAATATTAAGGATTTTGATCACCATGGGCTTCTTAATTAAGTCAGCCCATTTTAATAAGGGTTTCTTAATTAAGTCAGCCCATTTTCACAAATTTGAGGAGGGCAGAGTGGGCTAGGTTTCGAAATGATATGTAGGCCTTTGCTCCCAGCTCTGCAGCCCATTACTTGCGTGGGTCTTCCTCTCTTAATGTTTAATTTGCTACATTGAGCTTTTGGATAGAAGACCAATATTTAAATTGGTCGAATTTATACTCTGGTCTCAAGTAAACACTTTATCGTTTTAATCTTATTTATTAAGATCAATTTTGGAGAAGAAAATCATAAATAAATATAAATAAATAGAAAAAAGACAAATTCTACTTACATCGCTTGTGGTTTTAACTTTTCTCTTATAACACTTTGATTTCTTTTTTTTTTTCAATTAACATCATGTGGATAATTTGATTTTTGAAAGAGATTAAAATGATAATTTTGTCTTAGTAAAATTAAAAAAATACTCTTAAATATAAAAAAGGCTAATTTTGAACTAAGAGAATTTTGATAATTTTTTAAAATAAAATTAACAATTTAACTTTTATGGGAACAAAAATTATTTATAGGGTGCTAATTGAGGAAAAAGATATCTATAGAATATTAATAGAAAAAAAAAATTATAAGATCATATGTGAGAAAGTTAATATCACAAAAGGTGTAGTTGAAGTTAGTAAAAAAAAATGGAAAAGATATTAAATTAATAAAATATTCTAATATTTAACCAAATTCGATATATAGCTGTTATTTTCAAGAAAATGTATTAAGATATGGAGTTCAACTTTCACTTTCTTTAATCTTATTCATAGCTAGAAAAAACAAGAGTATATGGCGAGAAACTTAGTATATTCTTGTTTTTAAAAGTTAGTTTTAAACAAATTAATGAGAAACTCTCTTTCCATCTATTTACATTTGAGGATGGCATTCTTTTCTATTAGAGTTTACGTATTTTTAAATGTTGCGTAACACGTTATGATATACTTAACATGTTTATTAAAGGAATAAAATTAAAATTATATATGACATGATAGAATAATTTTTAACTCGTTTAAATTATTAAAATAATTAATTAAATATGTAATAAATGAGTTATAAATTTATATAAATATGTAATAATATAATTATTTTAAATTTAAATTTACTTAATTCTGTGTCACAGTTTATCTATCTTATTACCACACCGTATAAACAAATTTCAAGAAGATTATCTCCGTTAATTTTCTTTCGTATAGGAAGTTTTAAACAAACCATCCCCGCAGCAAGACTGGAATCCCATGTTGCTGAAATCTAGCAGATCGACGGTCAATTCACCCGTATCTTTGTCAGCCCGGATGTGCAGCCCTTGCCATTTCCCACACGTAAAAAGAACAATTAATGTCTGGAGACACATGAATTAATTAATTAATTAATTACCATAATTCCTTCAAAAAATAATTTTGATAATAACCATTTTGTAAGCCATCGGAAGGAGGATTAAAATCCAAGGCTTCAACTTCTCCCCGATTTTCTCACCCCCTAATAGTAATTCATGTAGCATTAATTCTCATATTTGAAATGGGCACCCACATTTTCTTTTCTTTTCTTTTCTTTTCCAGACCTTCCATTTTTGTCATTGCTTCGATAACCCCAAAACACCCCTTCATTGTATAGGCTTAAAAGCTTATACTTTAAGGGTTAGAATCGTCTTATTAATATATGATGGCATCATTCCAACCCATACAAAGGAGTAGGGGGAGGGCTCCCATCATCCCCTGCACTTAAATTTCTCACATCTAATTTACCATCTGATTTTCATTCAACACATATAGAACTTTTTTGTAAAATTTTAAGAAAATGATTAAATAATTAATTATGCAATTAATTGTGGGTTTAATAACGAACCCACTGATCTCTCCATCTCTCTCCTTTAACAATTTGTCTGAGAGAGGAAGCTCAGGAGTTACAGCCACAGGGAATTCTCAATCGTTGGATTGATCACCAGCTCATCAATGGTAATTTCGCCATGTGGCTTTTACCAAGGCTTGCTATGAGCTACTTGTATAAGCCAAAGTTAGAGTCTCTTCTGTCTTAAGCTTCTGTATGTGGTTTTCTTACAACTAGAAAGAAGAGAGAAAAAAGAAAAGAAAGAAAGAAAAGAACTCTTACTTAATTTTCTTCCAGTTTTAATCTTGCTCAGGTATCTCTTCATGGAAGGAGTGGGAGGAAGAGGAGGGGGCGGTGGTTTTGGTTATGGGAATTTACTGTCCAGGTCTTCTGTGTATAAACCTAGTCCTCCATTATCTGCTATAGACAGGTTTTTATGGGGTCATAACCACTCGAAGATCAGCAAAGGAACAGTTGGTTCCACGGATGGTTCGCTGCGTGGTTTCTCCTTCTCAAGTGATGCAATTGGTGGCTATGTGCTGGAGTTTCCTGGCAAAGTAACCTTGAGGAAAGCTTTGTTGACGGGCTTGTCATAGATGGGGGGAGCCTTGCTTTGACCGGTGACAAAAACCCTAACATGGAAACGAAAGAAGTGAAAATTTCGATGAAGAGTTTCCCTAAAGGGGTAGGGAAGAGAAACAAGAAAGTCGCATCTGCAGCTTTGATCAAGGGTCAGTGGACAGATGATGAAGACAGGTGATATACAACAGTTTGTTTTCTTTCTTTTTTGTTTTTAAAGATTTGGTTTCCGTTTAATGGTTTTTGGTGCAAATGATACTGAATTGTCCTAGGGTTTTTGTTTTGGTTCATATAATACAGAAAATTGATAAGGCTGGTGAAGCAATATGGAGTAAGGAAATGGGCACAGATAGCTGAGAATTTGGTTGGTAGAGCCGGAAAACAGTGTCGAGAGAGATGGCATAATCATTTGCGCCCTGATATCAAGGTTTCTCTTTCTTAACCTTCTTTTGTTTTTTATCAGTTTGAATCAAACTGATCAGTTTCTTCTTTACTTTACCTGGTTTTTGTTGTCTTGATTCTTCAAAAATACATCAAGATATCCGGCGTTTACATTTGGTGACTCGTAGATTTGATTCTGACAAACATATCAGAATCTAACGAACTTGAGTTTTTGACTAACAACATACTCCTCGGACGTTGCCTTAACTGATTTTGTCTGAAATTCTACGCATATTCAAACATCAGAGATTTTCACAAACCCCGAAAGATGTGCTTAAGACACAGATTTACGACACGAAAGGATCTTACATTTAGAGTTTTCTTTTCATGCGTTTTATGGTAAGAAAATTCCTTTTTTTTCTTTTGTAATCTCTCTGAGTTTGTTCTTGATTCTTCAGTTTGAAAGGCTTAAAGGCTTTTTGTTTGTATCTATAACTGTAAGTACCTTGGCATGCAAATCATATGGCGGTGGGTTCTGAAACCGTTTTGCCAACATCTCCCATTTGTTCCACCTTTAGTTCAGTATGTTCATTTTCATGTGATTTTGGAAACTATTTTTTTTTTTATATCAAAGCACCAATTTCGTCATAAAAGAGGCAGGCATTTAGCCTTTCCATGAGAAAGCTTTTTCATTGCCTTTATGGGTCCTTTCCTTTCGAAATGCAATCGCCAATTCTTGTTAATTTCATGGTGTCTTGTTTCAGAAAGATAGCTGGAGTGAAGAAGAGGAGAGAGTATTAGTTGAAGCTCATGCCAAGGTTGGGAACCGGTGGGCGGAGATTGCCAAGTTCATCCCTGGAAGAACTGAAAATGCCATAAAAAATCACTGGAATGCTACGAAGAGGAGGCAAAACTCAAGGAAGAGGAATAAACAAAATGATAACCAAAATGGCAAACCTCAGTCATCTATTCTTCAAGACTACATCAAGAGCCAAAATCTGAATAGCAACAACCGCAGCACCACCTCCATCACCCCAAGCAACAGCTCCACCACTTCCACCACCCCTTCTAGCTCCACATTCTCTGAAGACTTGTCCGGTCAATCCAAATATTTTCTCCCCGATCAACCGTCCAAATCCAATGATTCTCATCCTTTGATTACTCAAACATATGATGAGGAACTGCTGTTCATGCAAAACTTCTTTGCAAATAACAATAACATTCAACCATGCATTGATTATTCCCAAACCAAAGGTGCAACTGAGGTGAAGTCAGTCGTTGTTGATAACCTCAGCAAAGGTCCTTCAACCATTGACTGTTCTGGATTTATTTGTCAGGTAAACGGTGTTCAGCAGTGTAACCCAGCTGATCCGTTTGGATTCTCCTCTTCCATTACAAACCCAAACTTGTTGACCACTGGCCTTCAAGAACAAGAGCCTCGAACCACCTATCTGTTTTCCGACCTCTACCTGTCCCGCCTGTTGAATGGATCAGCAACCACATCTTCATTTTCCGCGGACTACGGCTGCACCAACATGACCACCGATCTCCAAGCTGAGCAAGCTTCTTCACATGGAAGAAAGGAGATGGACTTGATCGAGATGGTTTCCTCCTCTCAATTCTTCCGGTAGCAACATATGTTTTCTCGAACATTCCTAGCTAGTTATTAAAGGATGTGTGAGGGGATGGCATTGTAGACCATAAAACATATGAGACAAAAGCTTTCACTAATGGGTTTGGTTCTTTTTCACTCTAAAGCCATGGTTTGCGAACAAAAACTGACGCTTGCTACACTTTTTCAGCTTGGTTTGGTGGACTGCAATCAATTTAATGCGGATCCGTTTCTGCTTCGTCTTTTTGTTTAATTTTTCTCAAAGAAATGCGATTCTTTGACGCGTTCTACGTTGACCAAAGTTTCGGTTCGTACTTTGACCTGGAATTCCGAAATCGCCTTAATCTTCTTGCCTACCATTGCCGATGGGAATATTTGTCAGTTCAATGGACCCATAATTGTTATATTCCCTTCACATTTCGGGGCTGGCTGTCTTTCATTTTTCTTGCATGCAATAATTCTACTCTTACTCTATGTCAAACAAAGGAAAAAATCATTATGTTGAAGGTCCACCCCCTCCCATATTCCATTATCAACAGCATTCATCATTATAATTGATTGAAATCCAACCAATTAAGACAAAATTTTTAATAAATACTAGTAATAATTAATATATGTATATAATATATGTTCACATTTAGGTTTTTTCACATATAACATATATTTCGATGGAATTTAAATAGTTTATATATATAAGACATGGATGTAAATTTTTATTTTCATTCCATTTATCATGGAACTGATCAGTCTTAGTAGATGCATTTTTATTTTAATTATTGTCTTAACCTATTTTCTTTCACTAATTATTGATTCATTGGTAGCAAAAAGACAAAGGAGACCATCTACGAGAATGAATTTAATAGACAAAGTAAAATTTTTAGAATTAAATTAAATTAACAATGTAGTTATTTAATACTACAATTATATAAAGCATCAATTGATATTAATTAATATTCAATTCTAAGGTAAAATATATTGACACTCTCAACTTTTGGTTATAATTTAGTTTACAAAATCAACACTCAATCTAAAATATATAAAAATATTAATGTTTAAATATAAAATATCTAAAATGTCATTTTTTTTTCTTTAAGTCAACTGGCAACATTTCTTTATGCTAGTTGGCCACCTAGCAACTAAATTTACTTGGGCTTCCTTGGGAGCCTTGTGTGCTCCTTAGGAAACCCCAAATCGAGCTCCCTAGAAGCACTAGATCAATGCTCTCTTGGGGATGGAAAGAAGTTTTTTTGATAAAGACAAAAAATTTTCAAAATTATTATTTATAGTAGTAATTTTTAAAATTAATAAAAAGTAAAATTATTTTAAAAATATTATCACGTTATTAAATTAATAAAAATATTAACGATTTACTGACAATAGGACTTGTATATACAACGAAAATATTTTTTTGAAGTTGATTGTTCATTTTAAAAACCAATAGATTCATATGTAATTATGGTCAAAAGTCAAAAAGTTAGTGTATTTTATCTTAAATTATATTATATAAATAAAATATTAAATAAATTTAACTTAAAACTTTATTATTTCATATTAATAATTCAATAACACTAAATTATGTTGCATAACATAAAATAATGTAATAATAATAAGTAATATTTATAAATTCATACAATGTTAAATTTTATTGTGTAATACCAAAATATTCATTATATATTTTTCAAACTTTTATATTCTAATGTAACTATGTCTATTTGTTGATTTTGAAGTAGTTAATATTTAATTGAACAGTTTATAATTTACTAGTATTTTATACCAAATTTAATATTATTTTAAATTTATTAATTTAATTTATAATTTTCATTATAAAAATATACATAAATATTATTTTTTATATACAATCACTATTCACTCACTTATGACCAGTATCAGAAAAGAAAATATTGTATTTGAAAACAATGGAAGTAAGAACATTTACAGGTATTAAGTTGCACATTCAAGAACAAATAAATAATGGCCTAAATTCCGTAAAATTTTTTATTCCAGCTATATCAAGGGAATGACATACTTTCTGTCAGCTGTTTCCTCAAGAAAAAGAACATTACATGCCTTGATTTCTAACTTTCTGCAATTAACTAAAGACAGAACACATATATCTAAACATGACAATTATTCTGTTTACTAATGACCTTTTTGAATTGTATGTATGAACTTGTGATTTTCAGGCAGTGGTATTGTGTTAAAGTTTTGTGTTTTCTAGGACTTCAAAATGTTTTTTTCATGTCGTGGAAAACTTCTGGCTTTTTCCCAGTGTGACAAATGCAGTTATGAAGGTCATTTAGATTATCCTTTGACAAGGATAAGCTATCTGGTCGTTTAACGTGTGTATGTTTCTGGTTCTGGGATCATGACATTTTGGCTCTGGCAAAGAAAATTCCAGCAAACAAACCTGGAGCAAGCATACAACAATTGACATAAGATGAAAATCTGTGTTTGGTAAGTATTTATTCATGGTATGCAGAGTCAGTTAAAATCATTACCAAAAAGTATGCTGAACATGTTTGGTATACTGAGTGGAACTTTGAACAACACGATACCGGCAATAGAGATGGGAATCTTGTTCAAGGAACCTACAAGGCTGTAAATCAAGGATATCATGTCAGCGGTAGTATGATTATCATGTTAAAGCACAAACAAAAGAACACACTGCATAGCATAGAAGATGAGAGTGGCGTGCAAATAAGGGAACTGGAGACTGATTACGACATATACACACAAGTGATTCAAAAACTACAATGTTATCACAAAAAGTGGGAGCAGTAGCAATCTAAGCCTTAATCTTCGCTTCCCCTCAGGAATTCCTCGAAAAGAGATCATTACTGGCCGATGGATTTTAATCAACAACTATGTACTTCCTCATGCGTGAATAAACTAGATGGAACTATTGCTATGGACTAACACAGATACCAGTTATTTGCTTACCACGGAAAAAATGTTCACTAAAAAGTGGATTGATCTATACATGAGCATAAAGCATATTAGCAAAGCCATATAGTTTATCTTCATTTGCACTCTTGTTAACGTTCCTTGAAATCCATGAGCCAGTCTCTTTGACATAAAAACCTAAGAGGCACAAATTTCTTAAGGAGAAGTTGTCTGACAATTTTGAGTTTAATCATACACAAAATCAAATACCTGTAAGTGGTTGGGCCAGTTTGATGCAAAAACCACATGGAGGTGAAGCTAATGGCAAGTCCAAGCAATCCACTAGCTGTTGCAACAACCCAAAACATTGGCAATTTAACTACATCGCTGCAAATCAAACCTGCAAATCTTAGAATACAGAAGATGCAACTTGCAAGATGAAAAACTTGTATGACTGCAACAAAGTTAAACCTTTTAAGATGTTCACTTACACATTTATCACATATTCCCATTCATTTAAAACAATAATCAAGAAGATGCCAAAGGGTAGAGACAACAAATTATTCAGCAAAACCATGGACACTTCATTAAGTGATCCTGATTTTGTTGTCTGCTTAGCTTTGCCCATGACATGCCGCAGAGTAAGCTGTCACAAATTACAAATGTTGCTCATTAGTTGGTAATCATAAAGATATAAAGAGATCTGCATGAAAACCATGGTTCCCATAGTCAAAACTAGAATTACAGATGTCAAAGTTAAACATCACGAATAGACTAAATAGTGAATAAGTGTTCGATGCATACTGAGTAGCCAGCTGTTAAGATGCAATTTAGAATCTGCCAAGTATATCCTGTGGCATCAAATGAGAGATCTGTGATACCGCCACTGACAGCAGAGATAATCTGCAGAACAAAGACACACATAATGTCATTAATGATAGACTTAAAATTTCTGAAGAGGAAAAGTTAAATTCATCACCATAAGAGGGTTGCTTTTTGATTTTTTGGGGAGTTGATTAACTAATTATGGAAGAGTGTTGACTTGATTGGTGCATTAAAGAATCAAATGGTGGTCATTCACATTTGCCTCTCTTGTGTCAAATGCATAATAATTTCTGTGTTTCCCCGATAAAATCAACGCTACAAGCACAGCTAAGAAACTAAACTTTTAACTTCTTATTGGATATTTTCCATATTTTGAAGATTCTGAGAACAAAAATTAGTTCTGAAGTTGGTTTGTGCTACAACAAGGCAATCACTCAAAGTCTGTGGACAGGAAGAAACTAGCATACAGTCACACGGAGGTAAAATAAATGGTGTTTTCCCTGAATCTGATAACCTCAAGGAGTAACTTTACCATCATAAACATTGCTGTCCACACTTTCTGATTTTGACGTTTTCGAAAGACATAATATTCTCCAATTGCTGTTAAAATATTCGTCATGTTCTTCAGAATGGTCACCATTGCTATATTTATGTATTTCAAACTGAAATGAAACATGCACAAAATGTGTATGTTAGGAGTCCACTTCTCCTCACTTTTGGCCTATGTAATAAAAAAGGAATACGCTAAAGGTGCAGCCTATATCATACCTATACATGCCTGATACAAGCATGCCAACAAAGATAATATTCACAGGGATCCATACCCTGATCAGCTTCCAAGTGAGCTTTTCCACTGAAACTGCTCTACACAGACCCAATATGGCAACAACTAGACAACTGATCAGATTCTGCAGTGCAATACAGGAAAAGAATGAACTTCCACCATTGACAAAGCTCTAACTGTTCACATGAAATGTTCAAAAATGCCTAAAGAATATGCATGCCTTTTAGTTACAGTGTAATGACAGAATACAACAGAGAGAAATTTGCTTATGACACTCATGACAAGACCACTTTGCATACGTTGAACGCTATTAAGCTGGTGTGCTAGATAGATTTACATACTTGATAAAACATCAAGGATATTCCTGCATTGAAATTATAACTTGAGAGAACAACTTTATTCAGCAATATCATGCTGCATGAAGAAATGCAGTAGGCTGTTCCAGACAGAAGAGGCCCAGATCGTCTTCCAAATACATGTGCACGTTTTTCATTCCCATCAAATGGAAGATTGAAACCGTCACCAATTGCTGCTCTATTCCCTTTAAGAAACCTAATTGAAGAAAGTAAATGGATTTTACACATTATACTGAAGAATCAGTGATAAATACATCAAATTGACTTGTAAAGTATAATAAGCAAAGATATAAATTAAAAAAATTCAAATGCGTGTCAAAATCAAATTAGCAAAACTAACATTCATGTGGGGATTGAAATACACCACACACAGGAGAGAGCAGTTTAGAGAAGAATTAAAAGTAAAACATTAGAAGTTGAAAATGTATTTGGTTAATTGTACCTATCACTCAATGTTCCAGGCTCAGCATTTGCAGTGATACTGTTAATTGACCTCCGTCCTTGCTGATGGATACTGTTCAGGATCTCATATACTCTATTAACCTTTTCTTCTGATGTCACCTTCCCGTTCCAAGAGGTTAATTCTGATTCCTCAGAATCATGACAAACAACCTGATCTAACTTGATATTTGACATATTACTGACCTGCATATGAGACAAAATAAACATAAAATTCGGAATAATCAGCCAAAGAGCTCCAAATTGCTACTGCCAAAAGTTCAAATGACAATTTGCCAAAGAAGTGAAACAATCCTAAAGCATGAATAAAAACTATAGTAGAAATAAGTTACTCCCTCAAAGATTAGAAAATTGTTGAAACTTCAGTGCAGCAATAGTGCCTAAAGTAGAAGCTTTGCAACAAAATTCTATTGCTATCTCTATCAATATTCAGATATGTAAGTGGGAAACACGAAATTGTGCTGCTTTTGTTACTATAATTTTTGCCTTCCACAGTTCAAATAGAAAAAGAAAAAAACTTTCAATTTAAGGCAAATTAAGCCAAAGCATTTGCAATTAGTCAATTCGACTAATAATCCATGTTCGCAGAAAGAGAAAGTTTTCATCTTTGTTTGTAACACTTATTGTAATGCCAAGATTTTATGAAATAATCGGCAAACAAATAAGAAAATTAAAATTTTAAACATAACCCAAAAACAAGAAGATATTACCAATTTGATTGGTACCCTTCAAGCTTGAATTTGGTATCTAACCCGATTGGCAACAAATTACAGAGCAAAGCCCCGAAGAAAAAGAGAATAATAGGAAAAAGAAATGATCAGAGCATGATCAGTTAAAGAAGCCAATCAGACGCCTTGGAAATGAAAGAGAAAGCAACCCAGAGTCCCAGAGGCAGAGGATCATGCAAAAGACGTGAAAACTGAAATTCGGACTCCTTTTAGATTGCACGCAAAGGGAAACTAAAAGAGGGAGATCCAAAAGTAATGAGAAAGAAAAGTTTTTGAAGTTGTCTCAAGTTGGCAGTTTAAAAGCATTGTGAAATGAAGGGTGAGGGAAGCAAGCAGAGAGCGAGATTCCAGGAATGTTAGAATTTGAATAATGGATTTTGGAACAAGTCCCGATGTTTTCCAAAGTCAAATGTCGTCTGAATCTAGCCATTAAAACTGAGCAAACGAACTGAATTGAGAATGGATTTTTCTGTTGATGGTGCAGCCTTGAACGTGTTGCTGACTAGGTGTTTTTTTGAATCTTTTGATCCGTTTGCGCGGACTATGTGCCTTGCTTTTTGGCACTACAATGGAGGTGGGTCGGGTTCCCGGATTCTCCAATTTGAAGCCCAATGAATTTGAGCTTTGAATGCGTGATCAGTCCTACCAAAGCTCAGTTTAGTTATGGGCCCATTGAGCTCAAGACGGCCCAAAATAATCCCATTCAGGAGCTCGAACTTCGCTTCAAGTTGTAACTGAGTTTGGCATCTTCTTTGTTTTTCCATGTTTCGAGGTCTACTTCAAAAAACTGATTTGGGGGCAATCTTCTCTAGAAAACTTTCATGGGGTCCAGGTGAACTGATTAATGTTACCCTTTATTATAGAACATTGCCCTAAGTGTAGGACCAAGGAAAAGACTGCAGGGTGCTGGGTGCTGGGTGCAGGTGCTGGGCCATTTCTTCACGAACTTTTGCAAGAAGACGTAGAAACAGGAACTGATATTTTGTTACGACCGCAGCTGTTTCTGCCAGGTAAATGGGTCTTGACTTTCAACTAGCACCGAGTCGATCATCAGATTTGAAGGACTGGGAAAGAAGAATTACACCGGTTTAACTTGGTGATAAAAGTAAAGCAATCCATGAGGGGTTTAAGCTTTGTGGAATGAAACGAGTTTATGAAGTTTGTCCATGGATTGATTTTGGGATGTGATATCTTAAATATCAATTCTCAATTTCAGCTGTCATTTCAACTCCACATAACATCAATTCTCAACTCAACTCAGCCTGAGATCATGTGTAAGGAGATTTCAAGTTCAACTCTATATTCATCTTATTTGAGAAGAATGTTTGTCAACATAAATTTATTTTGATAATTGGGTCCTTAGAATGAATGCGCTTCAGAGCTTTCATCCTAACTACGTAAACAAAAGGAATTTCTACTTGGAAAGCATTTCCCCTGCAGAAAACCTAGTAAGGCTGCAGCAGAGAAGCATATTCAGAAGGTACATTTACATTGGCAAATTTGTATATCAGATGGAGCAGCCTTGGTTCTGAGTTGAATTCACTCTTTCAAATTATAACAAAACGGCAAAATAAATAGACTGTAAACTTGAAATTAGATCTAACAGCATACAAAACTGTCTTATATAAATATAAATACAAAAAGAGAGAGAAAAAGAGCTAATAATCTGATCCAAACAGAAGATTTACATCACATTCTCTAATACACAAGTTATCCTAACTAACACAGCAGGCATATTCTATCATAGCATCACAGCACTCCCCATCATTTGGTTAATTTTGGCTGTAACCCTTTCTTGTTTTTGGTTACAAGCAGCAAAGGTAAAAACCTGTCAAAAAATCATACGTCATCGACATTACAAACACATCTGCAGGTGACAAAATTTCCCCAATCTCAATATAATTAAATAAGATTAAAAAGTCAAAAAAAAAAAAGGAAAATCAAGGTTAAGACAAAAGAGGAGAAGGAGATTACATACATGCACTCTCACACTCAAACAGTGTACACAATCACAAAGCAAGGAAGCACAGCCCTCGGATTGAAAACCAACAGCTCTTCGTCATCCACCTTGGTCTGTGCCCCACTCCCTTCTCCCCTCCCTATCACCGAATCAAACCCACCATCCTCCTTGTCTATTTCTTCCCCTTCCGATCCGACCCGACCAGCCACGACCCGGCAGACCAGCATGGCCCGTTTCACGTTCATGAACTTGAATTCTTCCTCGACATCCTCAGGGATCGCCACGTGTGCTCTCCAGCTCGTAGATAGCGTGGGGATTCCGTCCATCTTGGGTGAGAAACCAGACTTAATAATCCCACAGATGCTACAATACTGCTGATTGCAAATGCTGGAACTCCCATTAAGTCCCAAATCACACATGAAAGTTGAACAGTAAAATCTCAACAGCTCGTTCCCATCAGCTATGCACCTCTCGTCTCGTCTTCCTATACCGTTTCTTGCGGCTTTGGCTTTGACAAGCTCTCTGTACTCTTCGAACCTTGCCAGAATCTTCGGGCTGT